ATTTTGTGAAAATTAATTACTTTTATTAAATTTTTAAGTAATTTTCAAAACTCTAAACAAAACAATTTTTTAAAATACAAAACACAAAAAAAATTGTATTTTGTAACTTCTGTATAAGTGACGAGATTTTTTTCATTTATGAAATGTATAAAACCAAGACAAAAGTTTTCCTTCTTTATTTTGTCTTATCTAATCTCTAGAAAGTAAACAGTTTTAAACGCAGTAATTTTTCTTTGTTTCAAATTTTTTCCAAACATTGATGACTCATTTATGTCAACTATTTCGCTTTTGTTGATTTTTTGGTCAACATTTTTGCCAATACTTTTACACTTTTTTTTCTAAGTGTAAGTATCTCAAGTTTTTTTAGTTTTGTTTCAACGACTTTCCGGTAGATAATTGAAGTTTTCTAACAATGGTAATCTTTTTATTTACTATTTTCTGTTTATTTAGTATAAAACTTTTGTGAGTGATATACATATTATATTTTTATCACTTATCACTTATCAGTAAACAAAAAACTGTTAAATCTCTTGTTAATTCATTACTTTTGCGTGTTGAAAAATTACAACATTTTTCATAAAACCAAATAGAATTTATTTCAATAATTAGTTGATTACAAATTTAAATTTTCACGTATATACAAACAAAATAAATCCTTCAAGCCTCCGAATACGTAGGAGTATACAAGACCGGAGTCGGATTGTCGTCCTTCCCTCTACCCATCTGCTCGTAAGCCCTTTGACGGTCTTGATCCCTCTCAATCAATTTCTGCGTCTTCAAACGTCGGACAGCTTTAGCCAACATCCAGGCGAAAATAATCCCCAACAACTACCAAAAAACACACCTTAACCCACTAGTGACAACATTTTCAGACACAAACCTGAATAAAAGCCACGGCGAGGGCCCCACAGCCCAATAAAAGGGCACTCTCGGAGACAACATATGTCAAAGCGTCCAAACAACCGTCCTTGAAGACCTCTTTACGGGGGCAAGTCCGGACGTCGCCGTGACCGCCGTAACGAGGACGGCAGCATGAAGATGGACCTTGCCACATGTGACTTATTGTAGTACTAGAAGAGGTTGAGGCTTCGGTGGTTGTAGAAAAAATGCTGTACCAGTCATTTGCCCCATCAATACCGCAACAATACAACTAAAAAATGTTGAAATAATTGCAAAAAAGTTTAATACAAGAAGCCTACAATTCCAAAATTGAGTTGGCAACGCTGACTAAATAATGTTGCCAACTCAATTTCAAAATCTGAGATTCAATTGAAAAGACGCTCCAAAATATATTTCCAAATTTTTCAAGGTTGGCAACACTAATTAAAATATAATAGAGAAGATATAAAATTTGGCGTTTTACATCTTCTGTTTCTACATTTTTCCATGTTGCCAACTTAATTTCAAAATGGTACCTTTAATTAAGCTTTTTGAAGTTTCAATGGACTTATTTTATACTTTTTTTAATTTTTTTGTTGTAAAACAATTCTTGATCGGAGTAGCCTATGATACCAAAGAAAAATTTGCAACACTGTCTAAAATAGACCAAAAAACGTAAAAACTTGCATGTTGTACATCTTCTGTCTCAATACTTTTAATGTTGCCAACTTAAATTTTCCAGTTTTAAAAGTAATTTCTAATTATATGATTTCCAAATTAAGTTTGCAACGTTAGCTAAAATAATGTCTACAATATTCAATGTTGCCTAATTAATTTCAAAATATGACTTTTAAATTAAATTCTCACATTTTCTCTCATATACTTTTTCATGTTGCCAACTTAATTTCAAAATCATGCATAAAAATAATGATACCTTTAATTAAAAACAAAGTGCAAAGAAGTTTTTAAACTTACTTCATGCTTTCGTCACATTTTTTTATGTCGAAAATAATTTATGATATGATGATACCAAAAATAGATTTAGAACACTGTTTAATATGAATATAAAAACATAAAAATTGGCATTCATGTGTTTTATTTTATGTTGCCAACTTAATTTCAAAATCAGAGATCGCTTTGACCGCTTATTTTTTTAAAAATATAAATTTTGTCAAGGTACATTTGCAAGACTGTCTAAAAAAAAAGACAAAAAACGTAAAAATCAACGTATTTCACATCTGCTGTCTCAACATTTTTTAATGTTGCCAACTTAATTTTGAAATCATAAACCACTATAGCCGCTTATTTCTTTCAAGACATAAATATTGTCAAAATAAATTTGCAACACTTTCTAAAATAGAGACAGAAAACGTGCAAAATTTTTCATTATTGCCAAATAAATATTTTGATTTTAAAAGTTTTTTCTAATTATCGTAACGCTGTCTGAAATACTGTCTCACATCCTTTGTTTTTATATAATTCAATGTTGCCAACTTATTTTCAAAATCATAGACTTCTTTGACCGCTTATTTTTTTTGGAAAATATAAAAAATAAAGACATATTGCTAAAATAGAAACAAAAGATGTAAATATGGACTTATTTCACATCATCTGTTCCAACATTTTTCAGTATTGCCAACTTAATTTCAAAATCATAGACCACTTGGACCGCTTATTTCTTTCAAGATAAAAATATTGTCAAAATAGATTTACAACACTGTTAAAAATAGACAAAAGACGTGAAAATTGATGTGTTTTACATTGTCTATCTCAATATTTTTCAATGTTGCCAACTTATTTTTTTGTTTTAAAAGTAATTTTTGATCATAGTATCCTAAGATTAAAATTTCTGCTGTCCAAAATAATATCTTGCATCATTCATCTTAACATTTTTCAATGTTGCCAACTTAATTTACCACTTGGACCGCTTATTTCTTTCAAAATATAAATATTATCAAGATAGATTTACAACACTATTTAAAATAGAGACAAAAAAACGTGAAAATTTGTGTGTTTTACATTGTCTATCTCAATATTTTTCAATGTTGCCAATTTAATTTTTTGTTTTAAAAGTAATTTCTGATCATAGTAGCCTAAGATTGGACCGCTTATTTCTTTCAAAATATAAATATTATCAAGATAGATTTACAACACTATTTAAAATAGAGACAAAAGACGTAAAAATTTATGTGTTTTACATTGTCTATCTCAATATTTTTCAATGTTGCCAATTTAATTTTTTGTTTTAAAAGTAATTTCTGATCATAGTAGCCTAAGATTAAAATTTCTGCCGCCCAAAATAATATCTTGCATCACTCATCTCAACATTTTTCAATGTTGCCAACTTTCTGATCGATTATTTTTTCAAAATATAAAATGTGTCAAAAAAGATTTGCAAGACTGTCTAAAATAGAAACAAAAGACGTGAAAACCGATGTGTTTCTCATCTTCTGTCTCAAGATTTTTCAATGTTGCCAACTTAATAACCACTTTGTCGCTAAATTCTTTCAAAATATAAATACTACAAAATGTCTTTAGCTCACCCTTTGTTGGGTAAAATCCCAGATGTCTCTGTCGTAAGGATCATTGTTGTAATCATAAATAGAATCGCTCATTTTCCTCCTGATGGAAGTCTCGATTTGCCCCCTCATGGCATAGGCAGCAATAGCGGCCGAAATCTCCATAATCAGAAGAATAGTCAAGAAGAAACCAAACTAGAATCAATAATTAGGCCCCAAATCTTCCATTTCTTTGTTTTATACCAAGTTGATAAGACAAGTGCTCTCCTTAACAGCCCCAACGCAACCGAAAAGCGCCACGAAGAAAATCACAACCCCTATAGCAATGGCAAGGACCGAAGGGCTGAAATAGTGGACTTCCATAAACTGTTCGAAGTCTCCATAAATCGCTTTGATAGTCGAACCGATCGAAATCAATAAAAACCCAATCATCTATAACAATAGATAAGAGATAAGGAGTTATTTGTGTGTCATGAGAATGAAACGTGGACAAATTTTGGCCGATTTTTTCGCCCTTTTTGGTTTTTAAAAGGGTTAAACATAAAATTGTGACGATTTTGGTTTTGGACTTACCACAAACATGAAGTTGGACACAAACAGCATGTATTTGATGCACTTCATCCCGACTTCGATGTCGTCAGCCATTTTTTCGAAATTTCCAAAAATCGCCCTTTTTCGAAATCGCTCTGTTCGGCTTCGCTCACTTGAATCGACTGATAAGAGATAAGCCTCGTGTATCTTTATACTGGAATTGATCGTATTGATAAGTGAGGCCCAAAATCTCAATGTTTTGGAGGAGTGTTGTTGTGTTGCGTAAGGCCAGGTAAGCAGAAAACGCGTTATCTCATGTTTGTGTGTCTCCCAGTTTATAAATCTGACGAGTTCGAGCAAGTGGTGTTGGCAGTGTTTCAGTAAACAGTGTTAAATGCGAGCGATTAGATAAAAGTGTCACAATGGCGAAAGCGGGCCAACGACGGAGGAGAGTAAGTCCAAAATTGTGGAAGATGAAAAATTGTTGAAATTTTTTTCAGAGTTCGATCAAGAAAGAGTTCACTGAGAAGGAATTGCAAGGTACTGGCCACCAGCCAGGGTTATTCTTAGTCTGCTATTTCGAGATATTTTGCAGATTTAAGGACTGCGTTTGAACTCATCGATTCGAATCAGGATGGACGGATCAACCCCGATGAGTTTAAAATCATGCTCGAGAATGTGGGGATCGAGCTGGAGGATGAGAAGATTGAAGAGCTCATCCGGAGCGCCAGTCATGCAGGTAACCTCGTGATACACACAAGATTTTACTAACTAATACTTTTTGAAATATTTTTTTGTATCTTGTTTCCGACTCGAAATGTACTCGTAATTATTCATACGAATTATTTTTTTACATTTTTGAGGTAATTTAAAAAAAAAACAAAAAAATATACTTAAAAAAATTAAAATTCTATTATTGTATTAAAAATTTAAAAAATTCAAATCACCTTCCCAATGATTAATATTTTGACTTCCGTTTCAGATATTTTATAACTTTTTAATCGATTTCAACGACTTTACATAGTTTTCCGTGCAAAATGAGTGTTATTTCAGAAAAAGCAGCGAGTTTTTGGGTTTGAGTTTTTTTTAATTACATATTTACCAAAATTAACAATAACACTTGTTTTGTTGACTAAATCCCTAGTGTGTTAGAAATAATAATCGAGTTTTTAAGTAAGAAAGACAATTTATAATT